CAATATATTAGATAACTGACAGAGATACGCAGAGAAACTGATGAGAAGATAGGAGATATCCTATTCACTCCTTATCACAATGTCGTCGATATTACAAAAATCATTCTTATTGTTTTATCATTAGGTATCGTTATCTGTCATGCCATGAAATTATTGAAATCAGGATCTTGGAGAAGTATTACCTGTCTAAATTAATTTTTGAACGTTTCGTATTTAGAACTTGAGAGCTGAAGATTTGAATAACTTAAAGGTAGAGACGCAGAACTGCTCATTCTTTTTATTGTCTCCTATGTTTGCATATTAAACTTATTCTGTATTTATTGTTTTCTTTGCTCTCATACTTTTTCAACTTTCTGAGTCAGAATGTTCTGATTGTTTAGTGTCAAAAGTAGTAAAATTTAGGCATTGTAGTGGAGTGTAATTACTTAACAGTGATCTTTATTTATAAGATCCTACTGTGATAAGCAGCTATTTACTGAATGTTGTCTTAGTTAGTTTTTTTTTATTGTCTATAATCATATCAGTATGGTCACAAATTTTTCCACGTCCGGTTTTATGCTTCATTTATTCTATACCCTTTGATTTCAGTGGTCATAAAACTTTCCTATATCTCCAGCATAGGTTTAGGGTCATTTTGAGTGCAGACATTATATGTTGACTTGATGTTCAATAACCGTTTTTTGATGTGGTTTTGTTCTCTGAGCTACAAATCTTCTCTATCATATCTAATAACCGTTTTCTCGATTACTGTTTTAGCTCTATTTTATCATATCTTATTTTCTTACATTTCTCCTGTGGCTGCGAAATGTCGCATACAGGAGTCATAAATCATTTCTATGCTCTGTAATAATTTAGATAAGGCTAAGGAATGTAGATCTAGGGCGGAGGGTACTCATCAATGACTTAAAAACGATCAACATCTCACAGAAGGAAAATTTAAACCCCCAACTCAACCCTTTTCTTAACCAAATCCTTATTATTATACACCCCTCGGTTGCAAGTGAAACATAGGGTTTCAACAGCAGTTCGCCATTTCACTCCGTCCTCTGCAGTTCTCTCTACCTGGCAGCACTATTGCCTATAAATTCTTACCTCCTCTTCACATGGTCTCCTTCAGGTTATCGTCGGACGCCCAAATCTCTGTTACTCCTTCGGGGCCTGTACTAACTGGATACTCTGTTTAATGTGCTTACACTTGTTTCATCATTTTTCTACAAATATATGATGTCTTTCATCTGGTTTCACTAACTGGCTGTTCCTGTGCGTTTTGAGGTCATTGGTGCGTTCATTCCTCTGGACAGATATTCTTTAACTTAGCCAGAATTTCTGTGTTAATCAAGATTTCTTTTAAGCCTTTTGTCTAGATGCAATGAGATAAAATTTGACTTTAGATTCCGCTTGAATTGTAATGGTTGTTTTACTATGATAGAGAAGATTTGTAGCTCAGGTGGATAATTTTGATGTGGTTTTGTTCTCTGAGCTCTTCTCCACGAGAAACCTAAAAGCTCACTTCAAATTGAAGTATGCACTGAAGATGTCACTCAGTAGGGCGATGAAAGCTTCGCAAACTAACCTTCCAGCTCAGAGAACAAAACCACATCAAAAAGGTTGTTTTACTATTGGATTAACTTTAAAACTTATATAAAAAGTATTTTGAATTAATGGATAATTGAATTTTCTTGTACTGTAGTTTGTTCTTGACACTTTATTAAGAAAAATTTGTGAATTTATATAACCGGATAGCTAATCCATCTTTGCTTAGTATTAGATTTTTAAAAAAACGGCTTACATTAAAAAAAAACTAATTTCGTTTATTAAATCCTTTGACATTATTAATGTCTCCTTGAGTTCCAAGTGGAACATACAGCTTCAGCAACACATCTGCACTCTGCTCTACTTTCTGTTGTCCCTTCAGCTGGGTCCATGATTGACCATAACCTCTCATCTCCTCCTCCTAACCCCACTATCTCCTCTATGTCACCCTTGCACCGACAAACCATTCGTTGCTTCTTATTGGGATTCCACTCTACGGCTAGCCTGGAGCACGACGTCATTCAGTGGCCTCCTCAAAATGTGCCCGATCCATCTCCATTTTCTCCTACATATTTGTTGAGAAATCGGTTCTTCGTTGGTTTGTTCCCAGCCAGGGTTTCTTGTTGCCAATTCTTTCTGGCCGGCTGACCATCTGATCTTCAGTATGGATCCAGCCAGCAAAGGTGGCAACTGTTGATAAAAGTCTGTAGTGACCTGTTGGAAATGCTTTACGTGACACGCAGCGCAAGTTTCTGACCCGTATAGAAGAACTGACTGACTGACTTCACATTTGTGTTGAAAATCCGAATTTCGTTGTTTGTGCTGATGGAGTGCTGAAGATTTGCAAACTGGTTTCAGATTAATGAAGGCGTATCTTACCTTTCCGATTCTGGCTGGCTCCGACATCTTCATCCGTTACTCCTGTAGTTGAAACGATGCTTCCTAAATAAGTGAAGGAATTGACCTCTGTCAAATCTCTCCCGCTGATGGCGATTGATGCTGGTTGTTGTTACTTTTGGTTTCCCATCTTGAAGATAATCATCATATAGTTTATTTGCGGCATTTGGATTATGGAAGGACAAAAAGTGAGGTAGAATAATGATGCACTTGTACAGAGATCAGGAATCTTCCTGATAACATAGTCATAATTATGCATGTAATAAGGAAGTCATACAATAAGACAAATTAGTAAGTCATGCATTTGTGCTAAAAGCAGATCAACAATTACTTCAGATATCGGAAACATTCTATTATCCTTGTAAATGAATAATGACAAGAACTGGGACGATAAGAGTTAGATTTCAAAGTTTAAACTATAACATGATTACTGGCAGTAAGTTATGTTCACTAAATCATATCTTACTTCATGATAAGTGTAACAACCAGAACACATGTAGCTACATAATGTTATAGTGCCGCAGTTCTTTTCGTTTATTAAAATAGCCTTAATTAGCAATAAAAAGGTGTCCTAATAAACCAGTTCATGAAATCATTAGCTGATAACCTAGACATTTATTGAAATGAATAAATCGGTGTACGGTTTACAAAGCAGACAATATCACTTGCTCGAATTACTGGTATTTTTCAATAATGAATAACATTACTTGAAGCCAGTGGTCTAATAACTTAAGCAGAAATCATCCTTGATTATCAAATGACCTGAAGACTTGTAAATGACTACCAGCGAAGATGTAATTAACTGTGATGATTATGTAATGACAGCAGTTAATAATAAATGGAGTAGATGCAACAACAACATGCTTGTCATAATTTCTTCAGTCTACATAACATGTATGACAGTATCTAAGGTTTATATTGATGCTAAGTGATTGGAGATAATCGTTAGGAAGACCAGGACCTAGGTTTCGTTCTGGTTGGCACTTGTCAGCAAGAAGTATCTGCATTCTTGAAAAAATTCATCTACCATCCAAGATTTGGACCTATGTCACCCATTATTGCACCCAAAGACCCTATCACTTAATTATTTGGACTCACCATTAACCACCTGTAGGACTGTAAAGGATACTTTGAGTGGTCAATAGGTAGTAAACAGTGTGATACGTCTAGTCCTTGGATAGGTGACTCACCATCGTGAGCAACACCTGCACATTTGATTAGTGGAATTCAGTCTGCACCGAACCAAAGACTAGACGCATCACACTGATTACTACCCAGTTACCGATTAGTGGTTGATTTTGTAGATTATTAACTCACTAACTTCGACTTCTATTCGGTATGTTCCCGAGTCAAATACACATACTTTCTAAGACAGCCTAAAAGTACTCAGTTTCCAAATTCTCTTATCACTATTAGTGCTTAGTCTTGGACCTTTTTATTAATAATCTTTTCATGAAAGACAGAATTTCCCTTCAAAATTAAACATCAAAATCAGTTTCATTCAATACCATTAACTGAAAGGGATCTACTTCGTTCATCTACTGAACTTCTTGAAGGGATGTGAAAAATACATAACTTGAACATCTTAACCAAATTTCGTTTTTTGATCATTCAGAATCACAAACATTTGATGACTAAGGTTTAAGGTAAATGTGAGACGTTCCAATCCCAAAAATTTCATACAATGCATCGGACAAACATTCGAGATGAATTACGCACCCACAATGGTGTACACGTTTGAGCCACTTTCGAACAGGTCTTTCGAAGCTGTCACAAACACTGTTGGTACGTACGTGCGTTTGAACGTACAACCATTTCTTAAGTTAATATACATGATCACCACTAATACTTTCCGATGTACTCTGCTTGATAAATATTTAAAGGACTTGCTTGAATCGTTGGGCTAACTATATTTCCGTCCAACATAATGCACCATTGTTATTTCATTTCTTACTCCTTTAATCATTCGATTATTTCCTTGGGTTGCAAAATATACTTTGAATTGTCACTTAACTTAATGATGTCCATTTTTTGAAGGGAACGAAGGAGAGATATCCTAAGGGATTGGTTTATACTGGGAATCAGATGACATTGTATTACATGATGTACCATGGATTACCATTTTCTTGAAGATCCCGGATGAAAAGAAAATGTTATACAGTAGATTACTGTGATTATTGTGTACATTACGTTAATATTTTGCACAGAATAAATCTATTATGATTATTATTGAATGTAAATCATGCTGTACCAATCCAAGTAACTAGATACTGATATTCTTTATATGAAATATGTATTGTCTCCTGGGTCATTCATTCACTTCAAGTTCTCAAATAAAGAAAACATCAAATGTGCAGATTGATAATCTGGCTAACACTCACCTAATTATGATTAGAATCATTTTTAAATCAATCACTTATATTTAAACAAATTTATTGGAGATTTTATTTTTATTCACCACTATTGAACTAATACTACTCATATATGTACGTATATATGTCGAAGTTTGTTTGTCTATTCTTATCATAAAATTATTTCTCCTTCTCTTTATTCTCTGTTTCTAAATGTAGTACACCAACAATCGTAAATAGTCATTCCGATTATGATTTACACAGTCCACAATCAAATGATGAACATACTATTTTAGCTGTGAAAGAGGCATCTCGCCAATTGGATGATTTATTATATTCCTTAAAACAATTTAAAGTAAGCTAATTGACGTTATAATACTTTGAATGCATTTTTTCGTTTGAATGAAAGGATATATTTCATTTTACGCGGGTATTTTTAGTTTGTATGAATGGATTGATGTACATGCATTGAACATTGATTACATTATTTTTTGAAAAGATAACTTTATTGTGTAGATGATGTATGATTTGATTAGATTGTAGTAGACTATAAAGTCTGTTTCATGCATGAAGTTAATTTCATTTGGTTTCTATAGGTTCAAAGTGTTAATGATGCCTGAACTAATTTATCATTCAATGACCTACAATAATTTCTATCCGACTATTAGAAAGTGTATGATAAACACTCCTTTTCCACCGCAGGTTATATTACTTATACTTTGTTTTAAATAAGTTAATGTTTTTTTTCCACTGTGTTATGTTTGTTTACATATTCGCTTTATTATGCAAAGTGCTTTTATTCGCTAGGCGTTCACTTGCAAAGTGTGTTCAATATCTATGGACAATCACTATCCTTCCTTAAATCAATTTTGCAATTCGTAAATAAACTTGCGATTTGCAATTTAAGCAGATTTTTCTGAAGTTAACTGAAGTTATTTAGATCATGATATGCCACCTGCTTCAAACCATAAATGCAGAAAAAGAAAGCAAACATGAGTGTATGACCCTAAAAACTACTGATTGATTGATATGAGAGTAAAGATACTGCCTACATTAACCAGTGGCGAGTCATTGTTTTAGAATATTTACATGTAAGTAAAGGCTTTTGACACTACAAGTGTCACAGGCGAAGACAAGAGACTTGGTAACAAACATTTTATTAAGGAAAAATACACCTTATTTATACGTGTTTAGCCAAATTTAAGGTCAGCTAGGTCAGTGGGCATTAAACTGTTCTGATTGGCTGATGATTTTCTTAAGGTTGAACCTTGAGACGAAAAGTTGTCCAATGAGACTGTTTCCTGACCACAACGTAAGCTGCATCCAGATTTGAGGAATAAACACTTTTTCAAGTATTGGTTTTGTGAGGATTTTGTTTGATTGTATGGAGGATTTCACCAGTAGGGTACTGCAGGTCGAAGATGGGACAGTAACTCATCGAGGAAGACATTGTAAAGTGGTCGCGCTATGTCGTGAACTGGCAGAAGTTAAAATTCAAGAACCATTAGATTGGGTCCCAGTGGCTCAATGGTCTACGAGCTCGCCTTGTAACCAGAAGGTCGTGGATTCGAACCCCGGTGGGTGCGTACTGCTGAAGAGTCCCAAACTGGGACGAAACAGCCGTCCAGTACTCCCAGGTTTTCCAGTAGCTCTCCTGCACGTGCTAATTTGCTTGATGGCTGTACTGTCTATATTACTACTTTGAATGATATTTTAATACTAAAACAAGAATATTTTAAATTCATATTCCATTTTGTATACAAAATGTCCACTGATTCATTTTTTCTCAAATTAACAAGGATAAAGAATATTTTGGTATAACAGTAATAGAGAATTATCTAAAGCTTTGATAATCACACTCGTCTACTGAGTTCTATTTCATGATCACTGCCCAGTTTTCCATTGCCTAATGTTTAGTTAAATGCTGTCTGAGAAGTCACCTTAGTCCATGTGAAGTATTTGATGATGCAATAATAGTCTACATATTGAAGACCTATTTATCTTTTGCGAACGGTTTTTATCTTTTGCACCAATGAAACTTCTGACTGTATATATACGTGTCAGAGCAGGAGTGTTTTATGCGACGGTATTCACTATTCTACTTTACTCATATACTCTATAACCCCTGAAAGCAAAAGGTATGAATCAGTTGAAGGATTTTGAAGTTAACATGTTTTTTAGTTCTACTCAAGTTTGACAGGTTCCTACAGTGACTAATGTTTGAACTGTATTCAGAGTTTTTGTAATAGGAAGAAATCATTCAAACGATCAATATATCTCCCGTCGATTGAGACGACTTTTGATTACCACTCCACCTATTTAGGTCTGGGTTCTCGCGATAGGTGTGGCTCACCGCCAGCTGCATGTAAATGCAATTGGTTATCGACTAGGAATCCCATTTCCATGAAAATTATTTTTTGTTGAAAATTCTATGCCTTTGCGTTAAGCTTTGAATTGCCGTTGGCAGTAGTTTTCTTCTTTTCCACCTTGTGGAGTTGCCAGCCTCACGCCTAACTTTCCTTCTTTATTGAGCTTAATACCGGTCAAGAGAGACTTAGGAGTTTTCTGGCCAGGGATCGAACCCCAGAATACGGGAGTGGTTGGACAGTATTCTACCTCTGAACTGTCGACGTACCTTTCCACAAACTGACCTTAATCACATATGGTTGGCATATCAGGGTTATTATTAATTATTTGTTATCCTCTAATTGGTGTACTCACCGGTTTTACTGTCAGTATTTTATGATAAAGACTTCATCTAAATTCCATATTAGGTTTTTTCAGAGCAGATTGATCTTCTTTCTCATTTTACATTTAGTGAAATTTAATCACTGGAACATTTTTTGATATCAACCGTTTTATATTTCCAATATCCGAATTAATATAAAGATTTAAACCAGTTCACATAAATATAGGTCTATTTATGACGATTTATTTAATGTTAAATGTAGTATAGGCTGTATTAGCGACACTTGTCCCTACACTTATCATACTTTATAGGCAGTCATTGATCATTTAAGCTCTTCTCTATCATGCTTGTTATTATTCATCAGAGTGAGGCATTTCTGAAACCTTGAAAAAATTCCCTTTGTTTTAGTTACGAAGTCAAAGCTACTCAAGACTACAAATGGTTGCAAGTGACTTCTCGTTCAACCCAATGGATTGTAAGTGTACTTTACTAGTGAACAGTCGGAGTAGCAACTTATGTTATGCCTGTAGTCCTTCGTGTTTCGTGCAGCTTGAATTCTACCACCATGTTAGGTGGCCCACCATCACATTGCACTTTGAAATGTTGTTAGATAGTTGTAAGCAATAGGTAGGAAGCCTTAGCACTCATATCAGCAAGGTGTATCTGCAATCTTGAGGAAACGCATATCCTTTTTAGGATTCAAACCTAGATCACCCAGCGAGTGCTGCATTTAGAGACGTTATCATCACTAAAGAAAATAATAACAGACATTTGTTTACTAGATACCGATATTTGTTGTTTTAAACAAAAACGGCTTTTATCCTGTACATGTCTTGGCTTTCAAATTGCCTGCATCTTTTAAGTAGTAAATTCACATGTGATAAATATTCAAGGCATCATTAATGCAACTTTTCTTAAATATTTTTGGAAAGAAATCCAACCTTAAGGCATCAGAAGAATGACAGAAAGTTGTCTCTGTCTGTTATTTAAATACATCATATTTTTTAAGATATTCAACTTTATTCCATTTTCCCTGCTTACGAATAACTTTAAGGGTTAATTGTCGTCTCACTCGAACTAATTTTTAATTGCAAATGCGAATAAATGTATTAAGAAGTTACGTATTATGCTGTAGGAGATACTGTTTTCAGTTTGCTTTCGTTTTAACTTATTTCTATTATTACTCATCTTTGTGACAGATGCTCAGAAATTGTTTGCTATAATTACACATGAATGTCGCAATCGATCGAAATCATGTTAAATATCACTAGTTATTGTGCTATTTTTGTTTTATGCAGAAAGTGTAAAACAAGTAGATGGTAGTAATAACTAGATCAGCTATTTTACCATTCTTAAAAGTTTAATGTCATACACAAACAGGGGAACATTAAATAGATACATAAAGGTCTCCTCCACTTTAGAACAAAATTTGATATTCTTGGAACATAAAACTAACCTGTATAAGCATTGCAATGCCACCATTTTCCCATTGATTGATTGAAGCATATTGTTCAGCTTCTATTGATATGTTGGCTCCTAGTAAAGGGGTCTTCCATGATGTCCGCGAATTACGATTGATGTTATCTGGTAGATGGTGACTAGCGGTGAAAAACACTTCGGTGTTTGAGACGAAAGACACTGGCTTCGAGTCTCAGTGAAAAAAATCATCACTCACTCACTCACTTACTGAGGATTGCAGACACATCCAGCTGACGAGTCTTAAACCTCCTGGATTCCACTGCTAATCACCAGTAACCAAATTTCACCAGAGTAATATCGTTATGTTAACTTTTTTGATTATGAGCAGCATTTGATGAAACAATCTTTCGTATCTTCACTTCTTATAATAGAATATTCACTGTGATGAGCATATAAGTTTATTTATTTTATTCTGCAGTAATTTTTTCTGAGTATGTACGTGAAAACGCAGCTGTAGTCACCTTGAGTTTCTGGAAGGAAAACTGTGAAGTATTTGTTACTGACATTTGAATCGTGACTTGATCTTAACACATCATTGTTTCGGAATGCATAAATGTAAGTATAGACATCTGATAACAAAAGAAGCGATAAAGTTCAAATATTAGCGAGTCCTTCCCTGGAATTAAGGTATATTGAGTGACGTAATATAATTGACAGGATTGAGTGGAATTCAATTAAAACTGAACGTTAGTCAAGCTAACAACAACTGTAATAAGGAGTAGAAACTTAACAGATGGTGAAAGGAAAAAATAATGCAAATAACAATCAAAAGTTATATATATCCTTTGTTAACACACATTGGGTCCATTGTAGATTAAGTGACTGAATAAACTTCTTCTAAGTGCAGAGTTTGGGAATTAACACAACCTTGCTTCTGCAGTTTGAAGAAGTTTGATTCATACGCTTTTAGTGAGATTCTTGAATATTCTGTCGATGACTTTGAAATTGGTTTGTGAGTAGGTTAGTGTCCAGATTCGATCAGATGTTTCAGGATAGAGCTAAGGCGGGATATTTTGTCTCCTTTGTAGAACCATGAGGGTAAGTGTTCAGTGATACGTTTGGATAGAAAACCCTGAGTACGGCCAGCATACCTAGCTCCATACGAACATTAAAACTGATAGATGCACACTGATAAGGCCAACACTGGTAGCTTACCCTTCACTTTCATACTAATCATTGGTTATGTG